GAAGTGTTTTAGTAAATGAGTTTCCCTTTAATTAAAACAAAAAATATATATGTCTCATCATGGTTCCTAAAATAATTAGCCACTAGCCTGCTTTATCCCTGATTTGGCTTACAGGTGGAGAGAGGAGGTAAATTATCATGGAAGCATAGAATGTCCTGAGCTGGAAGGGACCCTTAAGGACCACTGAGTCCAACTCCAGCCCCACACAGAACACCTCAAAAATCACACCATGTGTCTGAGAGTGTTGTCCAAATGTTCCTTGAACTCTGTCAGGCTTGGGGCTGTGACCACTGCCCTGGGGAGCCTGTTCCAGTGCCCAGCCACCCTCTGGAGGAAGAATCTTTCCTTAATATTCAGCCTAAACCTCCCCTTACACAATTTCATCCTGCTCCCTCAGGTTCTATCACAGGCCACCACAGAGAAGAGACTGGTGCCTGCCCCAAATTTTAGATAAAAGTAGGGGAAATCAGCTTTACCCTTGAAAGGTGAAACACCTCGTTGTCTTCTGTGCAAGTGCCTGAGTTTGTCAATTCAGGGAGGCAGAGAATAGTTCTCCAGATGCAAGGCAGTTTGTCCTCCCTTTCCTGCTGTCTCTGGAGCAGAGCAGCACTCCTCGGTGGGGCCAGTTTCCAGCTCAGAAGGGTGAGATGTCACTTCCCTGCCCTTGCACGGTCCATAAGGCAGGAGGATGCTGGGGAGCCAGGAGCTGTGCCCTGGGGCTGGGAGGAGGCAAGGAACCACATCACACCGGAGATTGGGAAAGCCATTAGCATTTTATTCTGCAAAGCCAGTGTGGGAATGGCAACCCCTCAGCGGTGGGATAAGCGAACAGATGTGACAGGTTTATTTATCAAAGTATCGATGGAGGGAAGCGGGTGTGTTTGGGGAAGGGGTGAGGCAGCGTGGCAGGGCGGAGGTGACCACAAACGCAGCTGTGTGTGCCCTGGTAACTTCAGCTCATTGCTGCCTCAGACTGCTGCCAGAGGTGCTGTACTCGTTATTAATCTGCTGAGATAATTGCAGTTTGAATGTTTCCAGCGGGGGAGTTCACAGGAGGCGGAGGCATTCCTAGAAGCCCTCGGTGGGTACCATCCTGCAGGCATCCAGCAGCGTGACTCAGCCTCTTGGCTGCTGGTGGTTCAAAGTGGCACTCGGGTTGGTGCTGATTTTCAAAGCTAATATGAAGACAGGGAGCACAGGCAATGATTTGGAGCTGTGGAATAGCATTTTGAGCTGTGATTAGCAAAAGAGGCAGTTTGGGAGCGGGGCTGCTGCTGAACCCATGGTGGAAGGGCAGTGCCTGACCCTGGTTTGACTGATGAGTGTGCAGGGAAGCGCTGCACGTGCATAAAAGCTGGGGAAATGTTTTGTGCTGGGGAATGGGAATGCTTCTCTTGCCTTTTCATCAAGAAGCTCTAAAATGGCATCCAGCAGCTCTTCAGCCCATGCCTGGAAGCCAAAGCCAGGTGCATGGGATCCTGAACGAGGCATGAGGACATCTGGATATTTATTTATATTTGAGCTGCATTTAGCCACTGGAACAAGCACTTGCAGAAAGTGGCCTTAGCGTTAGCTCAGCTTATTCTGCATGCAGACCACAGGTAGCCCTGAAGGAAGTTTGAGCCTGATGAAAGCACATTAAGCTACCAGTAGCAAGAGAAGCAGATAAGATCAACAAACTGCAGTGATTGGGAGCCCCATACTCCAGGAGAAATCACTTTCAGAGCAAACACTTCTAATGTAGCTTCACAGGGCTGGGAGAGGACAATGCAGAAGAGATCCTAATTCATCTGTGCCACATCTCAGCAGGGAGACAATCCCAGCTCCCTGTTCCACAGGGAGGAGACCCTGGAGGAGTGCCTGGGGAAGCTGTTGCAGGCAGCAGCCTCTGTGTCCCATCCCACCTGGTGGCTGCAGCCCTCTGTAAGCCAGCAAGCAGGTGTGGATGGAGCTTGTGCAGATGTGAAACTGATGCTGAGCAGTGTTTTTTCTTATTTGCCTGCAAAAATCATGGTTGGCTCTGCCTGCTGTGGGGCAGAGAGATGGGGACCAGGTGAGATGTGACACAGATCTCCACTGGCCTCTGTGTTGCACTCTGCCAGCCCCCCAAAGCCTTGTAAGAAACGTCTGCTCTGAAAAAGTGATTTCTTCTGGAACGTGGGACTGAAATGACTGCAGTGCAACCTCTCACTGCTGAGGAAAGTCCTCGTTTTGTCTTGTCCCGTTGATCTGAATGAAGTAATTTATAAGGACGTTTTCCATGAATCAATAAATCCATGCTTGCTGCTGTGCCTGGGAGGTTTAATTTGCTCTAGATACTGCACGGAGTATCTCTGTCCTGAATTGCACTGTGAAGTTCTGCTCTTTGGGAGAGGATGAGGTTACAGCTGGATCCTCTGGGAACATGCTGCCAGCATCTGATGGTGCCCAGTCCCTGTTAACTGAGCACCTCCTGGGGTGGGATAAAGTGTTCAGGCAGGGTGTAAGAGCAGTAGTTTCCCTGTGTGTGGAGTTTGGGGGCTTAGTCTGTTGTGCCAAGCATTTCCTGATGTTACAGATCTTGGGGAAATGGAAAATGGAAGCCA